GGTGGCGGCCGACGTCATCAACCCGATGGTGCAGCGGCAACGGGAGGAAATCCGGGAAAAGTTGGCGGCCGCCAAGGAGAAACGTCTCCTCAACCAGAAATTGGGGTAAGACCCCCCCCAGGTGGGGAAAACAACACTTTTCACGAGCGTGGCGTGACCCCAAAACTCATATTTTTAACCCCAAAATAGAAAAATTAAGACGTTGGGGGAGGACGACCCGTGGCTGGACGACGCGGCCGCTTGGATCGAGCGGAGCCGGAAGCTGCAGCAGGAGAAGGAGCTGGCGGAGAAAAGGGTGAGTGGGGGAGTGTGGGGGGCCCCTGCACCCCCACACGTCGTTTTGGGGGAAAACACCCCTAAAATACACCAGGTTTAGTTTAAAACTCTTTAAAAATAGAATTTTATTCCAGCTTTTGAGTATTGTGAAGTTGGCGGATAGTTGAATTTTTATGAACGTTACGGGAAATTAAATTAAAAAATGGACTTTTAGTGTATAAATATATTTTTTTAGAAACCAAAATTGTTGTATTTTGGGCAGAACTCATTCTTTTTTAATCTTCTTTGTGGTTATCGAGTGTATCTTTGTCCCGTCATCATGGAATTGTTGGGTTGGTTGGCTGCCTTGGCCCCCAACTCTGCCCCACCCCGGGATCTCCAGCCCCCGCTGGATCCCACCAGATGATCCGATGATCGGCCTCGTTAATTTTCGTGCTGTTAATTAGGTATCGTTGTAACTTACGTAGATCTAGTAGAGATGATATCGCCAACGTTTTGTTGACTACGGTCAACTGTTTATAGACTCAATTTCTACATGTAACTCGTTAATAGAAGTATTAATTAGAATTAATTTTGACGGGCCACTGGCCTGGTGTCCCCTCGTTCTCCACACCCCGTTTCTGGACGTCCCAGAAGAAAATCGTGAGGGCCACCATCCCTAAACCTCCCCCCCAAATACCATCCATCTTCTTCTTCTCATGCGCCAGGCGGGTGATTTGCGTGTAGAAGGTCCTTAAGTTAATTAGAGCAATTAGAAATCCAGCTAGGTTACGGTTGTGTTGCCGTTTGGGTATTTTTCAGTCAGAGCTTGACGTTTTTTATCCTTCACTCACGTTTTGAGGTTAAATTGAAGTTTGTAGGGTGGTTTGAGTCGATCGTCTGGCCTTCAAACACCGCAATGAGCGCTGTAGGGACCTCCCAAGCCCCCCCAGATCCTTGGTAGATGGTTGAGAAGGTCCCTTCCGGCCCCACGTCGGTGCCCGTTGGTGTTTGCAGGCCCCGCGTCAGCGTTTTGGTGCCCCACGTTGACTCTGTGGGCCTCGTGTCTGCCCGAGTTGGCTTTTGGGGGACCCGTGTCGTTGCCTGTCGGTGTTTGTGGGCCCTGTGTGGGTGTTCGTGAGCCTCAGGTCTGGGCCTGTTGGCGTTTGTGGGCGCTGTGTTGGTGTTTGGGGGCTCCGTGTCTGCACCCGTTGGCATTTTGGGGCCCCATGTTGGCACCTGTTGGCTTTTGGGGGCCCTGGGTTGATGTTTTTGAGCCCCGTGTCTGCCCCCGTTGGCCTTTGGGGGCCCCCCATTGGCATTTGGGGGCCACATGTCTGCACCAATTGATGTTTGGGGGACTTGTGTTGGCACCAGTCGGTTTTTGGGGGCCCCCCATTAACGTTTGGGGGCCTCATGTTGGCATCTGTTGGTGTTTGGGGGCCCCGTGTCTGCCCCAGTTGACTTTCGGGTTCACGTGTTGGTGTTTGGAGGCACCCGTTGACGTTCGGGGGCCTCACGTTGGCGCCCATTGGTGTTTTGGGGCCCCCTGTTGGCATTTGGGGGCCCCGTGTTGGTTTTTCCACTGTTGGGGGCCAATCCCACCCCTCCCAGTGCCCTCAGGAACCTCTTACTGGTCCCATCCCCTCCCAGGCCAAGCTACTGGAGGAGATGGACCAAGAATTCGGTGTCAGCACGTTGGTGGAGGAAGAATTCATGAGGAGGAAGAGGGTGAGTTGGGGACCCTTGGGGACCCCCGGATTGTCTTCCTGACCCCCCCCCCGCAACGTGTCATGTGTGTGTCCCCCCCCCAGGATCTCTACAGCTCGCGGGACCTGCAGGGGCTGACGGTGGAGCACGACCTGGGGGCCTTCCGGGAGGGGGAGACCCTCGTCCTCACCCTCAAGGACAAGGGTGAGTGCTGGGGGGGGGGACATGGGACACCCCGGGGAGGCTGGGGAGGGGACACGGGGCCCGTGATGTCCCCAGGGGGCACGGAGGGGGTATGTGACCCCTCTCCAAGGGGACACTATGAGGGGACACAGGGCCCATGATGTCCGCAGGGGACACAGAGGGGAGACGTGGCCCCCCCAAGGGGACACAGGTTCATGACCCCCCCCAAGGGGGACACTATGAGGGGACATGGGGCCCGTGACCCCCCCCAGGGGGACACAGAGGGGGGACGTGACCCCCCCAAGGGGACATGGGGCTCATGACCCCCCCAGGGGGACACTATGAGGGGACATGGGGCCTGTGATGTCCCCAGGGGGACACGGAGGGGGGACATGACCCCCTCCCAAGGGGACACTGAGGGGACACAAGGCCCATGATGTCCCCAGGGGACACAGAGAGGGGACGTGACCTCCCTCAGGGGACACAGAGAGGGGACGTGACACACCCCCCCCCGCAGGGGACACGGTGCCCCTGACAGGCAGAGGGCTGACACCTGAGGGGACACGGAGCCACCCGGGTCCTGCTGGTGCCCTTTGACCTGTCCCCATGTCCCCTCTGTCACTGGCCGGTGCCTTTCACACCCTCGCCCCGCGTCCCTGAGTGCTGTCCCTCAGTGTCCCCAAGGGCTGTCCCCAAGCCCTTTCTGCCCCATGTCCCTGTCCCCAAGGTTTGTGTCCCCTGTATCCTCAAACCCTGGTGTCCCCTCAGTGTCCCCAAGCCCTTTTGTCCCTGTTCCCCATCATGTCCCCAAGGCTTTTGTCCCCCCATCCACTCATGTCCCCAAGGCTTGTGTCCCCCCGTGTCCCCAAGCTCTGGTATCTCCCTGTGTCCCCAAGCCATGTCCCCTCACATCCCCAAGGGTTGTGTCCCCCAGCCATGTCCCCAAGCATCGGTGTCCCCCGTGTCTCCAAGGCTTGCGTCCCC